ACACACACACACACACACACACACACACACAGAGTGCCTCACCCAACCACAAGGGGGCAGCAGAGAGCAATCCTACTTTTTGGCCTAGAGTAGGAGAGCTGGAACTATTTGATTAGAAGCGTAAGGACCTGCCACAAGCTCCTGGGAATGCGGGCTAGATTCTGGGGCATACTGGTGGTCACCTGCCCATCCACCTGGTCCTGAGCTTGCCTGTCTTTCTTCTCCCTTTCTTTCTCTCTCTCAAGCCTTCTCTGTTCCTTTGTTATTTTGTGGTACTAGGATTGAACTCAAGGCCTTTGCACTGAACTGCCTCCCTTGTCCTTTTATAGTTGTTTTTTGTTGTTGTTGTTTTGAGGCAAAGCGTAACAGAGTCACGAAGTTGCCCAGGCTGGCCTTGAACTTCTGATTTCCTAGACTTAGCCTCCCAAGTAGCTGGGATTACAGCCATGCCCCACCACAACCAACTTTCTTTTTTCTTTCTATTCCTTTTTGTTTGTTTAAGAACTTAGGTCAAGTCAGGCATGGTGGTGCACACTTCTAATCCTAGCACTCAGTAGGCTGAGGCAGGAGCATCACTGGGAGTTTGAGGCCAGCCTAAACTACACAGCAAGACCCTGTCTAAAAAAAAAAATCGGTCAAAGCTGGGCATGGTGTTACACAACTATAATTCCCACTACTCAGGAGGCTGAGCTGGGGGGTTGTGAGTTTGACACCAGCCTGCTCATTGTAAGGAGACCCTGTCTCAAAAATATAAAGAAACAAACAAAATAAATAAAAGGGCCGGTTCTGGGTTCTGGAGTCCAGAAGGCTAACATCATGGTGTCAGCAGGGCCCACTCCCTCAGGTGCTTCAGGGCAGAACACTCCCTTGCACTGTCTGGCTCCTGGTGACTGTTGGGACCCTTGGTACCTTGCTCACGTCAGCCCCATCTCTGCCTCTGTGGCCATTCTGCCTCCTCCTCTGCATGTGTCTGTGTCTCCCCTCTGTCTCTCATGAGGACACCTCTTCTTGGATTTAGCCCACGTATTTAGCCCAGGATGGTCAGAGTTAGGGAGTATGTTCATGGACCGTATCTACAAAGATACATTTTCCAAACACAGCAATGTTCGTGGGTCCCACAGAGGAGGACATGGCCACCACTGGGCCCTGTACCCATCAACACTTTACCTGATGGTTACTGATGATCATTGTCTAGATTCATTATTTTGTTTTAAAAAATGGAGATTTTTTTTTTTTTTTTGGTCTTTTTGAGACAGGGTCTTGCTATGCAGTTCAGGCTGGCCTTGAGCTCACTTTGTAGCCCAGGCTGGTCTCAAACTTGC